AACTAAAAACTGGAAAGATACCTCGAACTGAAGAGGTGCCTGCGGAAACATCCACCTGTGGAAGAGCGTAGGCTCGTCCCTGACCCCTGCTGTGAACTGCCCTGATAGCCTGACTGGTGTGTAGAAGCAATAGGTGTAGAACCCCTGGCTGGATAAGTGCCAACTGGCGCCACTGGCTGCAGTGCCTGAGGAACTCTGAAACCAGACTGAACCACTGTAGACTGTGTCGGTACCATCTGTGAATCTGTGCCACTACGTGACTTATTCAACAACTTTGAACAATCCTTCCTGAGATGACCTGGCCGCTTACAATAGAAACAAACTCCCTACCCTGTTTACGTAGAAACTGAAGTCTGACTGGCCTGGGCCCGAAGCTGTGGGCAACGAGGCTTGATGTGCCCCGGCTGCTGACAATGGTAACAAACCACACTTGGGTTGACCCGAAGATACAGGAACTGTGGGCGCAGAACGATTCTGCTGCGATGCCCCCTGTGAGTGGGTATTGTTCCCTGCCCTGACCTTCTTCCATTAACTCCTGGAAGATGATGGATTATCTCCGCGAGGCTGCTTGTGTGAACCCCTAATCTGTAACTGATCCCGTTCCTCTGTTTCAGCTAGCATAGCCCTCTGGACCACTTCTCTGTAAGTCCTCAAATCAAGAATTGAGACCTGTAGCCTGATGTCAAGGTGTAGCCCATCCTGAAATTTCATTGCCCTGGCCTCATTCGTCACTACCATATCCTCGGCATAACGAGAAAGAGAAGTAAATCGTGTCTCATACTCAATGACACTCATAGTACCCTGATAGAGACCTGCGAACTGTGTCCTCATCTCCCACCTCATAGCCCTAGGAAAGAAGCGCTCGAAGAACAAATCTCTGAACTCGTTCCAAGTTATTAACTCAATATTGTGGACATTGGTCATAGACCTCCACCAAATATCTGCATTTCCCATGAACAAAGAAGCAGTCAAGGAAATCCTCAACCTATCTGTGGGTACCGCCATACTGTCCAACTTGCGAACCATAAGGTCCAACCAAGCTTCTGAGACTAGCGGATCTGAACTCCCCGCAAATGGATCAATTTTGACCCTCTGTAGTCGCATAAAGTACTCTAGTGCCTTATTGACTATCGGTGCCGGTGCTGGTTCAGGAAACTGTATCCCTGCCACCTGCCTGCGTATCAACTCCTATAAGGATTTAGCAATCCCCTGATTGATTCCCTGAGCAAACCGCTCTTCGTAAGTTGGTGCCCGTGGCGGATTAGCATTCGCGCCACGAATTGGAATCCTGGGCCTCCCCGAACCCCTCGTGAACTCGGTGTCAGCCACCTGCTCCTCAGTGCCCTGATGTGAGGACTCTCCACGTGTGACAACCATGGTGCTAAACGTGTAAAAGAAGGAAGGTCAACAATAACACAAGTTATTATGACCGAGTGCAACTCACACTATGAATGCACGAAACACCAATCAAGACAAAGTATGCAACATACAGTCATGCTAAAGCAATCAAGGAAAGATGTGTAAACAGTTAAGCACTTAAGTAAGTAAGCATACATGTCAAATAAGGATGTTTTTAAACATATAAGCATATAAGCCTAAAGACATGTCATACTACCAAGCGTGTTATAACGAAACACGTAAACATGTTATAAAGCCAAAACATGTTATCAAAAGCATGTGAATACATGAAGGTAGATCAACAAAAGCATGATATGCACCTAAAACCCGTCGTCCTAAGGTGTTCAAACCTAGGAACTCTGATACCACTTGTGACGGCCCAAGTTTTTCAACCCGGTGCGTCAGTGATGAACCGAAAGTTAATCCGATAACGAATCAGAAATGCGGAAGCAAATGATAAACCAAGGTATTAAGAGATAGGAATCACTCCTAAGACACAAATGTGACCTTTCATGAGATCACGGGACTTAAAGGGAGCAAAAGCGGAAACAAAGGTCAAAAAGGACAAAATTCATTATCCGAGGGGCAAAACGGTCAATTCACAATTAAAGAGAGAAACTTGACTGTAAACAAGTCAAACAAGGTGAATACAACCTAATCTAATCATTTCAAGACATCCCAAGAGGTTTTATGAACATTAGCTAAAAATCCCATAAATTGTCCTTTTCCGGTTGAAGTGAAAACTGACACTATTTCACTAAAACATGAATATCTCTCGCTGTGTTTGGAATCTAAGAATGACATAGGTACTATTGGAAAGCTGACTCAAAATCCTTGAGTTTAGGCTAAAGAATTACCCTATTTGGATAAGAAATGCAGGAGATATGACCCTTTGAAGTTGGATATTCAATGTTGAAATGAAACCTGGAAGCTGTGGTGCATAGGAGCTATTTCGGTCGACCGACTTAGAGTTTCGGTCGACTGAATCTCACAGAAAGTTGAAGGATGGTTTTTACTGTTCATTTGGTCATAAAAAGGGTTCGGTCGACCGACTTAGAGTTTCGGTCGACCGAAACTCCTCGAAATGCTGCTGAAAGCTCCTCCAAACATGTGAAATTGCAATGAAACCTATGAGATTCATTCTACCCACATGCATAGATCAAAAATTGATTCATTTTAAGGAAGATTGAACATATGAACATATCATTTACAAGAATTTCACGTGGCAAACCTCCAAGATGGTTAAAATACATTTTTGAAGAAAAGTTTGATACCAAAAGAGTATTGATGCAAGGTAAACATACTTGGCCCTTGACCTCCATACATACATGCTTATAATGTCAAAAGTGAATACTTAAGTATCATTACATGTCAAGAAAACTACATAAGCTCCTAAAGTACCATACACCCATAGTATACAAAATATGACATCAAAGTTAAGCATGCTAAACACTTGCATGTCAATATACAAAAATGTTCCAAATTGCTCATTAGCCTCTAAGGATGATGAACATCCAAGAACATAGTCTCCTTACCTGAAAAACAACTCAAACCACTAGGGTGAGTAATCAAGTTACTCGTAGGAAGAAGCATATGCGTATACCCTAAGTTTCAATATTATTGCAAGATCAATATAGACGAATACAAGGGAGCATTCCACTTAACGTCTATGTTCAAGGTGTTATAAGGGATCATCTTAAGCTATCTTAAATGAATCTAGCAACACAATATCAAAATGGATGTACTTAACAACATTAAATTGCATGAAACTAAAATTACAAGTTACAACTTAAACATTGATTATCAACTTGGAATTGAATGCGAAATCAAAAAGTGGAATCCTTGGACACCTAAGCTCGGAATTCTGTTGAGACCTCAACGGTTATTCCGGGCATTAACCCACAGGGAAGACCACCCTAAGTGCGCACTATCTCAATTGGGGAGAACTCATACCTCCCGCATTAGAGCCAAACTCTAGCCATGTCATTTGCAACCATGTCCCAAGAGAATCCAAAATACATCAAATTTAAAACTTATACATAATATTAAAACATATATACCACCTTCCATGCACAAGCATTTTGAAACCACACAAACCATGTCTTAGGGTTCCAAGTCTCGAATGGCATAATATATGACAAGTCTTTAACATGATAAGATATGCAAAATAATACCACTAACTTATCAATTTAAATCATGCCTCAACAACAAACTTTATATACTAAATCTTAGCATTTTAGCAATAAGCTTCTAAAACAATCATAATTACCAAAAGTAATCTACTAGAATGTAGGATTAACATCACAATAGTATGGTAATTCAAGTCAATAAGAGTTCTATACAATATCAACAATCCTACTCAAGATACATACACAATATACATGCTTAATCAATAAAATCCTAAGTTAATCATAAAGATTTTCTATAGTATGCAATACTACAATTCTAAAAGCATGTATACAATATATATTAAACCCCAAAGGATTTTAAAACGCTTAAAATATAAACATACTACCACCCCTACCTCAATAGAAAATTGAATCTCTATAATCTAAGCAACCAAGCTCTAAATGGAAAACAAGTTTAGGGTTAATGAAGAGGATAGTGAGGGAAAACTTTTGTGTTCCAAAGTTTTAAGTCTAGGGTGAATGGAAGGAAGCCAAAAATGAAGTTAAAGTTATGAACCAAACTCTTCTCTAATGGTGGCTAGGCTAGGGTTCTTGAAGAATATGTGAAATGAAAAAGATAAAGTGTGAAATGGTGAGTGGAAGGGTTAGAAATCCTCCACTTACTATGTGCTCTTACACTACCTCTCTCGTACACACAATGCAAGACTAAACATGATCCTACACTTGTCACAAATCAATGGCTCTTTCCTAGGCTTAATCCTAAGCCTACACTTGTCAACCATCTAAGCCAACAAATGCATTAATCCTAGGCCAACATGTGAGTGAATCTCCACTCTCCAAATGTCAAAAGATTACACATCGAAGTCACTCCATCCCTTTGCCAACAAGTGGCACCATGAGAATGTGACATTTGTCACATTTTCCTAAAAATTGCAAAAAGATCATTTTTCAAAATATCTTACAAATTAAATTGCAAAAAGGTCCCTAAGACAAAAAATAATTATTTTACATAATTACATCAAAACCTCAAAATAATGAATAATTACATTAACAAATGCATCAATGCCCTTTATGAAAAAATAAGTCATAGAAATCAAATATCATGAATGTATGCAAAATCGGAATCAAATTCGAGTACAACAAGTGAGGTTATGCAAAAAAAAATGAAAAAGGAGAAAAAGATTAAATAGGGAAAAGACAAAATAGGAAAAAGATAAAAAATAAAAATCTCCCAAAAAAAATAAAAAAAAAAAAGGAAAAGACTGGATCATTACAGGAGAGATGGTCTGTGGCTACGATTATGGTAATGGAAAGGGTGACAGAGTAGGTGGTATAATCTGGCGCCAATTTGTGGTTGAAATAAACTGAAGGCATTTTATTATATCGGATATTTTATAATAAATATGAGGTTTGCCAAAAGGATAAAATGGTCATTAAAGATGGCCTTATAGGCAAGATCGAAGAATCCGATTAAGACTGTTTTGGTAGTTTCGCATTGATTACATTTTCATTGTTGAGTGCGGACTCCACGAGAAACAGAGAAAAACCCGTTTTGTTTCGCCTCTACTGCTCATTCTTATAACAAGCGCCTGCCATTTACACTTTTAAGAGAGAGAGAGAGAGATTGTGATCTGTTGTTGTTAGAGAGAGGAAGAGAGATTGTGATCGATCTGTTGTTATCTGTATAGAGCTATGGCGTGTTCGAGTTTGGTGAAGCTGAACGCATCGGCTTCACAGTGGATCTCTCAACAATCCTTCAACCAACGGCCTGGATCTTCCTGTCGCTTCCCCACCCGCCGCGTCTCCGTCGTCCGAGCCGGATCTTACACCGATGAACTTGTCAAAACCGCCGTTAGTTCTCTCTCTGTTTTCCAACTCAATTCATTATATATAACGCACATCTATATCTATATCTATCTGTGTATATATATCATTTTTGTAGTGACTTTGCATGCTAAAAGTTTCAGGTAGGATGTGATTGCTTTTAAGTTTTGTTTTGTTCTGGTTGAATCTTTGTATATGAATCGATCAATTGTTTTTAACCTTTAGTAGGCTTTTACTTATTGGAAGTTGTGAAATTCAAGCTGATTGATCATATTTTTACTTAAATTTCATTGTATAATTTGTGATTTTTTATTTCGGGAAATTGATTTGCCAAGTTTTGTGGTTGTTTGATTTGATTGCTTTGATTTGTTTTGTTTTTGGTATGGTTGTTTTCTCTAATTTTGGACCGTTTGTTTGTTGAGAACTTCAACAACCACCTTCAAAAAAAAAAAAAACCACCAAGTCTGTTCCCAATTACTTGGGGTCGGCTGTATGAATCCAGTGTTTCCATTTCCCTCTATTTAGGGCCACAACCTGAGTCAATCCTTGTTTGTTCAGAACTTGACTAGTGAATTTAGTTTTGGCACGAGACGATAATTTATGAATTGAATTTGTATTATATCATGTGCTCTGTTAATGTGCTCGAATAAATGAATTCGGTAAGCATTGTTACAATTAGTTTTTGTTTGTGCACGTTCATCCTCATTAATTTGATCTTCCAATAACCGTGCCTTTTACTGTTTTGACTTTCAGAAAGCTTTAAAAGATTTTATATTTAACTACTTTTTCTATCTGTAATTATCACATTTGTCTTGCAAGGCGATCAATATTTTGACTTAATTCCAGTGTATTAGCTGGAATGTGAAATTATATCGAGTTTTGAAATAATCCAGTGTCTTTTTTCGGTTAAAATAAAAGAATGGAAACTTATTGTGTGCCGTCTCCACTTTTTTAAAGTACAAAAAGAAAAAAAGAAGGAAAAAGATGACAAATTCTTATGGATATGACTGTTCATGTTTTGATTCGCATTCCTAAATTTGAGCATATTTCTACTACATTTGTTATTTGTTCTTGTTTTGGTAGGGCCCGTTCACTAACAGGAAGTGATTCCTATTTTTACTTTCACCAAAAGCAAAATCATGATTTTGATTTCTTAAGCTGAAATAAAAAGTAGAATCATGTTCAGTAATTTTTCATATTTTCAATATTTTGAAAGCATGTTCAATAATTTTGATTTTGTTTTCTAAATTGGCAATCCATGTTATATATATATAATTTAGGGAAAAGTGCAAACCCCCCCCCCCCCCCCCCCCCCCGCCCGCGCGTATTATTGGGGTTTTGCAACTAACCCCGTTGAACTACATAAAACCCCCTTGAACTAACAAATTGTTGCATTTAACCCCCCTTGAACTAACAATAGAGTGCCGGAAAAGCCAAAAGACAACATTACCCTCAATTAAATAACCCCCTTGTCTTTGGCCCTCATTTTTCTGCAGGCAGGGAGAGAGAGAGGGAGAGAGAGAGAGAGAGAGAGAGCTGAGCTTCTTTTGCTCGCTGGCCGTCGTCTGAAGCCCCCTTGCTTGTCGGCCACAGCCGAGCTTGGTGGACTGAATCGGCAGTGAGAACTATATATATACTGATTATCTGGGTTTGAGAGAACCGGCGAGGGGCGACTGGAGGAGGGATTCGCAGGACTTTGTAGCGAGTGGATTGGCTGGAGAGATGACAACTCCAATTCGGTAGTGAAGAGCTCGGCTCGGCGGTGGAGTAGCGGTAGCGGCGAGCTTGGAGATGGGGAGCGAAGACGGCTGTGAGAATGTTGATGGCGCCGGCGAGACAAATCCGGCGGCGGCAGATCCAACGGAGACGACTGGTTCGGCTGTGGCTGTGATGAGCTCTGCGAAGAGGGAGATGACTGGGTCTTGGAGATCTGGCGAGACAGATCCGGGTCTTGGATTTACAGATCGGACCGGATCGGCAGAATTTGGGGATGGATGAGGAGCAGAATCGGAAGAAATCTTGGGCTGGTTGTGGATTTGAGGGATTTAAGGACTTCTGATGATTCGGAGGGGGTTAGAGTTAGGGTTAGTGTTTGGAGGTAGTTGGAGAGGTCGAGGAAAGGGTCTCATTACGAGGATTGGAGGATCCGAGCGACCTTGCAGATGAGGTTGCGGCGAGGGAGAGGGTATCCTCGGGCATCGGTTTGGAAGGTGGGAGAGTCGACTTTGATGGCGAATTAGCGGCCGTTGTCAGATTCGACGATGACTCTGCCGTTGTATTTGGTGGCGAATCCACGGCGAAAGAGGTGGATTAGATGGAGACGGAGGTGGAGGTGGAGGTTGTGGTGCTTCATTGTCAGTGTGAGCTATACGACGCGGTTGAGGTGGAGGAGGGGATGTCGCAGATGGTAGAAGGGCATTATTGTCCAACATATTCAATTTGTCTATCGCGTAAGAATCACGCGCTCATTTTTGGACGGCCGGTGGCCGGATGGAGTGATCTGCAACAAATTTGTATAGTTTAGGGGGTTTTATGCAATTTTGATAGTTTAGGGGGTTAGTTGCAAGTTTCGCAATAGTACAGGGGGGTTTTTTGCACTTTTCTCTATAATTTATATATCTGAAAGGTCAAGGTTGTTATATTTTTACCAAAAGCAAGCAAACATTATATTTATTTCAGTTGAAAAAAAAATTATATTTATTCAGAAAGAGGACTTAGACAACATATTCACCATCAATCACCTCTAACAAATAAGGAGGATAACTGTGAACAAATTCCGAATAAATTCCACATCAACCTTCTGTCTAAGCGCCCATTAAAAAAGTGTTGTAGAGCCCAATGAACACCATCCATCACTACTGCAATCAGAATCGGCCCCACTGAATTTTTTTTTTTAGTATTATACCCTAATATTTTTAGAATTTTGATATATATATCTATAAAATTATACTATGGCCCCCTCTGAAATTAGTAAAAAATTTCACATTGCCCCCCTTAACTTATGTTTCTGGATCCGTCCCTGACTGCAATTGGTCCAACCACCACATGTGCATCCCCCCAATTAACACACCATGAAACCCCAATCAATAACCCATTGAACAGCACAACCAGCCACCAAGAGAGATGAAGATAAAAAAAAAAATTCAGATCTGAGATTAACCCAAGTATCAGTCATCATCAATCCGGTGGTTGCCGGTGTTGTAGTCGTGGTCGCTGATCTAGTTGTTGCTGATGACTGGTTGTCTCAAGAGCAAGGAGCTAGGTCTGTTGGAGAAGGAGAAACAGAGTTTGCGTATGCACTTTCGCTTCTCTACATGTTTTCTCTCTTCTTTGTTTCTGCTCACCACTCGGAACGCCACCGAATTGGGCATCATTTTCTTCTGTTTCTCGATCTTCAACTGAACTGGGCTTTCTTGCTATATATGCATCTCTTTATTCTATCTCCAAAGAGAACCCAATGTTATAAACGTCAATTTTAATTCCGTGCTGCTACAGTAGCAGAAAGTAAACAGTAGGAAAACATAGAAAGTAATAAAATCTCACTTTCTCTTTCCCTTCCTTAAATGTGAAAGTATTTTTTAAAGATGAAAAGTATAATTATATTAGTAAACATGATTTGCACTTTTATTTTACTTTTTAGGAATTGACAGTAGAAAATAGGATTTACTTTCTGTTAGTGAAAATGCTCTAAATTACCTTTTGTTTTACTACATCTTCAATTCCTGATTTAAGAGCTCTTAATTTTATGCTATGAAAAATCTCTTTTTAGTTTACAGGTGTCATCTATATCCTTGCAGTATTTTCACACTTGATTTTTTCAAATGCATAGTATTCTAAGAACCTATCAAAAGGATAGTGAAATCAATGAGGATAGAGAATATGCAACCAAAAATGGTATGGTGCTTATTTTTCCTTGGTGTCTTTGTTGATGGTGTAGAAAACTATTGCGTCTCCTGGTCGTGGTATCCTTGCCATTGATGAATCAAATGCTACCTGTGGGAAGAGGTTGGATTCTATTGGCCTAGACAATACGGAAGCCAACCGACAGGCTTATAGACAACTTTTGCTGACCACACCTGGCCTAGGTGAATATATTTCCGGTGCCATTCTCTTTGAGGAGACTCTGTACCAGTCAACAACAGATGGGAAGAAGTTTGTGGAATGCTTGCGTGAGCAGAATATTGTACCAGGCATCAAAGTTGACAAGGTATGGCCTCATAACATGTTCCATTCTTTGGAAAAATAAAATTTTGGAATTGAATTACTTGACCCAAGATTTTTTTTCCTTTGTAGTAATCTAATACTCCTCTTTCTCATCTTCTTCCTCACATGGTTTCAGGGTTTGGTTCCTCTACCTGGATCCCATAACGAATCTTGGTGCCAGGGATTAGATGGATTGGCTTCTAGATCTGCTGAATACTATACGCAAGGTGCTCGTTTCGCAAAATGGTAAGTCATATTTTAGCTTTTGCAAACCTGTTCCTTGTAGTTTATGTGAGTTTCTTCTTAAAGAGTAGTAATTTTCATTCTATGTAGAAAATGATATATCACAGCATTTGTTTTACTTCATTGCATATTTATTTGAAACTACTAGGCGCACAGTTGTCAGCATTCCTTGTGGTCCTTCTGCTCTGGCAGTTAAAGAAGCTGCTTGGGGGCTTGCACGTTATGCTGCTATTTCTCAGGTACAATTTCTTCTTTTAACAATCTGTCGTCCACTTAAAATTACTAAATGTTTTCTAGTGGAGTAAGAGATGGAGGATGTTTATTATAGTACTAAATTGTGCTCTTTGGTATTTGGCTGTTCAATGTTAAACAAATTAGGTCATTTATATGTCAAAAGGAACAGAGGAAGAAAAGTTCTATCAAATATATATATATATATATATATATGTTTTTAGGGAAATTTTTGAAATGGTAAAACTTATAGGAATTCCTTTGTAAAAAAGAAAATTGTAGGCATTGTGTTTTTGTATAAGTAGATTTATATAACTGTTTGGAGGGTTTGATGATCTTAGTTGAGATGCAGGCACTAGTGTAGAATGCAAATGTACTAATTATTGCTGGTCTACAAAAGCTCCACTCCACTATACAAAGCTCCATTATTGCTGGTCAAATAATGTCATCTAAGAAGGTTAAAAAGTTTTTCACCTTAATTTCGCGTTTGCTCCTCATAGGAGACTGTTTTCTTCTCAAGAACTTCTTGTGCACAAATTATGATATAGTTTGCAGTTAATAAAAGGAGAAGCATTTGTGCTTTTAAAGTGCTTGACTGTTTCTTTGATTGATTATATGTATCTTTATCTAAGTTCTAATTATCATTGATCTCTTTTGCCGAATGTGTATGTGAAATGGACTCTGGGTTTTCCTTGCATTGATTGACCAGTGTGACTTTTTGTTTTTTTCAAAGTTACATTGAATGATAAGATTATAATTGAAATAATGTTTTAGACAACTATTATTTTGGACTGTAATGGCTTAATCACTGGTTTCCGTTGTCCCACTAATTTTTCCGCTCTCTTTTTTTTGTTATGTAGGACAACGGACTTGTGCCTATAGTGGAACCTGAGATTCTTCTGGATGGAGACCACCCTATTGAGAGGACACTCGAGGTGGCAGAGCAGGTCTGGGCAGAAGTCTTCTACTACTTGGCAGAAAACAATGTTATGTTTGAAGGAATCCTACTTAAGCCCAGTATGGTAACTCCAGGGGCTGAGCACAAGGAGAAGGCTTCTCCAGAGACCATTGCCAAATATACTCTCACTATGCTCAATAGGAGAGTACCTCCCGCAGTTCCAGGAATCATGGTACAAAATCCTGAGCCCATTTTTCCTTTGAAATTAACGCACTTCATTACTTTTTCCTTATTTTCAATGATTAAGTTTAAACCCTTTTGAGTTCTTATTGGCTTGATATTTACAGAATACAGTAAAAGTTAAGGTTCAAAAGACAGTTGCCCTGAAACAATTTTTTGGCCAAAAACGTATCCAACATTCTGTTACATTGACTTCACATGATGCTGATTCAGTAAGAATCATTAGAGATTGATGTAGAATAAGAAAACTTCATTCTTAGGTCTTAAAATTTTCAGCTTTAATGCCATAAAAAAAACCATACAAAATCTAATGCACGTGTATGTTGATGTTTGATATTTGTTATTCAATTTTGCTGTGTTTGCTTATTTCCATTTGTTAGCAATTGATTACTAAAAGAAGTTATGCTTTACGTGTAGTTCTTGTCCGGAGGGCAATCTGAAATGGAAGCAACACTGAACCTGAATGCAATGAATCAAAGCCCCAACCCATGGCATGTTTCCTTCTCTTACGCACGTGCACTACAGAACTCTGTTCTTAAGACATGGCAGGGACACTCTGAGAATGCAGAAGCTGGACAGAAGGCCCTTTTGATGCGTGCAAAGGCCAACTCCATGGCACAGCTTGGAAGGTACTCTGCCGAGGGTGAGAGTGATGAATCGAAGAAAGGAATGTTCGTGAAGGGCTATACCTACTAAGCCAGAGTTCAATGTAATTCACATTTCTTGTCCCGTACACGATGTGTACTTTCTACTTTTGCAATTTTTTTTTTTTCCCGCTACCGGAGGCTCTGGGGAAGTCGGAATAGGAGAGCACTCATCTTGGGGTGGGCTTACTACTTAGATGCTTTCAGCAGTTATCTTTTGGCTACATCTCTTGTTAGAATGCATTAATAATGGCTTTTGGTGAAAAGGAAAATAGATGGGGTTAGTGAATGAGGATGTATGTACCATCTTTAAGTTATATACATTAAATACTGTCTTGAATCTTGTTTGTGTACTGTGAATTGCTAGAGTTCCTTTCAAACATCATAGCACTTGCGTTCACAGAATGTTAAAATAAACTAATACGGAGTATTATGTTTGGTAGAATGGAACTAGTGAAATTGGAATTGGAGAAAACTTGGGAGCATAAATGCATTTTGAAGTACAGTGCTTTGACATGTCTGACCCAATAAATGTTTACTTGAACCATTCACAATCATCAACCTGATCTTGCTTAGGCATGATTAATTTAGCGCACTCATGCACTTTGACAGTTTTTGCATTATTCAATTCATCAAGGGTAGGAATGGCAATGGGGGCCTCCCCTTTTTCAAATTTGAATGGAAAACCCTAATTTCACTTTTCAAATTTGAATAGGATTAGTAGTCTATTTTCATCACCAATTTTTACGTATTGGATTTTGTGCAACTCCGAATGACTACTTTAAGTAATTTACTCAATACGTGAGTAACTTCAAAAAGGACTTTTTGACTTAGTATCCAACTATAATATTTTTTACTTTGTTGTATTTGACAATTTGTACATAAGTAAAACATTTTTAAATCATACTTACTCTTTATATTTCTACTCATACCTTATATTTTTATTCATACTGGGGATTCATCTTATATTGTAAAGGAAAAGATTACTCGATCCATTTCCGTATGCATACTCTTTATATTTCTACTCATACCAGAAATTCATCTTATACTATAAAGGAAAGGATTACTCGATCCATTTCCATATGCATCTAGATATCCCATTTTTGCACAGCAGGGTTGCGGATCCAATTGCATTTGAAGCAATTAGTTTGAATTCCTATTGTTTGAATTCCTTATGATATGCAACTGAAACATGTTCTTGCTAATGGTAAAAGGGGATTTGAATGTGGGGGTTGTTCTAATTTTAGCCTTGAAATCACTTTTCATATTCTTTCCCAACCTGTAAATACGTAGGTGGAAACAGGGTCGGCCCGACGGGAGCAAGAGTAACAATACAGTTTGTAATGCTAAACGGGTTGGATGGATGGGTGTGGTGGGGCAGGGACGGAATTAGTAGAGTGTTTTTGTAATAAAACAAATTTTTAATCATGATAATAGTTACTTTTTTCTTGTGCGGATAAGAAAAAAAAGTAAGATTCAAAGTGATTGGTGAGAGCCCAAATCTCCAAATAAGTAGGCGTACGAGTAGTGTGTTAGTTTCTTGCTAATGAAAAAAATATAAAATATAAAGACAAAAATGTAAATTATCAGTATAAACAAGTTGGTTGACCTTTTCCATCTTGTCCCATATTAAGCATACTGCTGGATTTTGTGTCATTCTTTATGATTGCAAACCATCCATCCCAGAGTCCAAAATGGCGGTACTGGGCGGGTGTACACCAACCCGCCCGTCCTCGTATAAAATACCCAACCCGCCCCACCCAAAACAATCTGAAGGGGGTGCCCTGCCACTCCATCAATGGTTTTTCTGGACCTCCAATGACATGCTCTCTAATCGTGCCCTCGTATTGTTGCTTAGTTCTTCTAGCGCTTTTGCATAAGCCTGCAATTTTTCTATAGACTCCCAATCTTTATACTCTTCACTTCTCCACCATTCCTCTCTACTAGTCTTCTTTTTCTGTTCATTCTGTGTAGCACTCTCAATCTTCATCTCTCGCTCGATCGCCTTCACCTCACGGTACAGGGGACGTAGGGATTCTTTGGTGCAGTCGCCCATTGAAGTAGCAGGAGATGAATTGGTGAGGAAGGTGTCGATGACCGTGTCCGCGGACGGATGTCCGAAACTGAAGATTTTAGGGTTGTTGCTTGGCGAGGACACCAGAATGGCGATCTGGGCACCAGTAACCATGCACATTTCTGCTGCCTTGCTAAAGAGTCCGACCCGTCGCTTCGAGAAAGTCACATGCCTCTTGCTTTGGCTCTCTTGCTTCTCCATCGCAATCTTCCTTCGACCCATCTCTCTAAATGGTGTTTAAACACTGCTAGTACTGCAAAGTACCTGCACACGTATAACATATATATAAACAATCTAGAGAAACATTATTAAAATAAATAAATAAAAAATATAGAGAAAAAAAAAGAAGAAAAAAAACCTTTCTCTTGAAAGGAATGTGAGGGATTCGAATTCTGAGGGTAATATGTGAAATGGGTGTCCAAAAAAATAAATGTTTTCTTGATGCAGCAGTGCTGTGTGAAAACCCTAGAAAGAGAGGAGGGAAAATGTGGGAGAAGAAGACTTACAAAATTAATCTACTCGTCGCTTGGTGTACTATTGCAGAAGTTTGGGGGCCAAAGCCATGTTATATATAATATTTATGGCACCATTTTTGTGAAGACTTACTTCATTTGGCTGTGGATGAGAGCTTCCAATTCCATGGATAGGGTTATTAGGTTATATATTATTTTTGGTAGGTCATTATTATTTACCTTATTTATTAATATTTAGAGTTTATATATATAGATCATATGTTATTTCCTTAGTCACATAAAGCAAAGCGAAAATGAATTCGAAAACATGAAAGCTATAAAATTAAGTCATAAAAAGTGAGAACGAAAGCAAAAGCATACACAGAGTGTGATTGCCTTGAGTAGATCATCTCTTATTACAAATATACATATAGTAATCAGGGAAGTGATGAATAAAAAAACAAAAGAAATTATTCTAAATAAAATTATTATTCTTATTTATCATCATTATTATTATTATTATTATTATTATTATTGTGTTTGTAATTAGGGACAATTGGACCACAAAAGTATGGATGACCTACCAACTATAATTAGGCAAGTCTTGTCATTTATCAAATCCGCTCAAATTGGGTGAGGTTAAAATTATTTACCATGATAATTATCATTTGTGTTTCTATTATTTACTCGATGAATGTGCCAATTATATGAGATAAAAAAAATTACTAAAAATCACGAATGACATTCGTGATGTTCTGTTTCGAATGACATGATCATTACTTCATTTGGCTGTGAGCTTCCAATTCAGTCGGTAAGATTATTTTGGTTTTGGTAGGTCATTAAGATTTACCTTAATTATTAATATTTAGGGTTTAAATTTATAAATCTTAAGTTCGTTTTTCAAATCTTTTATTTGTTAAATCTTTTCAAATTGGATGCTACAGTACTAAGAAATGTTAACAAATCTTTGACTTGATAATTATCATTTTTTTATTATTTTTTCTTGGTAAGAATTTTTTACTTTCTTTCTATTATTTGACTCGATGACATAATGCAAAAACAGGACAAGTGTTCAATGATATAAATAATAAAAAAATTCGAAATACTAACCGAGTCGAACCAAGAGGATTCAAATCATTTCCTAATCTAATGCACAAAAGAGGAGGAGAAAGAGAATCATATTAGGACATTTGCATCAGCCTCTTTGAATTTTGGTTCCCTATAAATGTTACTTTTTAAGAGTCACATCAGCAGGTTTTACTCTCTAGAAACATGTACTCCATCAGACTTTCTGAATTTTCGCTCTCTAAAAAGGTTTTTTAAGGGGAAAAAAAGGTTTTTTATTTATTTTTGGCCTAAATAAAAAAAAAATTTGGACAAACAATGCCTAAACAATATATTTTTTATTTAATGAATTTTATTTTTTTTTATTTTTTATTTTTAAAAAAAAAAGAGCTCAAAATAACCTATTTTTAGGTTTTGTCAAAAAAAAAAAAAATCTTCCAAACAATGCCTTAAGGCACTATTCAGCAACGGTGCAGGAACGCTTAAGAAAAAAACAAAAAAGGCAACCGCAAAACGACGCCATTTTGCAACAGAAAAAAACAAAAATAATAATAACAATAACAATAACGGGCTAGTTAACGGTATTCCGTGAGCCGCCCCGCAAGGTAAAGTGGGTCCCGCAGATTTAAGCTAACCTGCTACGCAGCCAGAGGGCCACTTGCTCGCGGAAATGGGCCGCTGCGGCAGCTCTTAGGGCTTCCAGGTGAGGAGAGAGAAAAAACAGTACGACAAGTGTTCAATGATATAAAATAATAAAAAATTCGAAATGCTATCTGAGTTAGACCAAGAGGATTCAAATCAAATCCTAATCTAATACACCGAAGAAGAGGAGAAAGAGAGAATCATATTAAGGCTTCCAGGTGAGGAGATAGAATCATACTAGTAGTGTTTAAATCATATTGGGTTTAACTCCAATGGTATTATTTATTATTTATATTCTGGGATACTTGTCACTCTAATTTTGTGCCATCACCATTGGTAATTATGAACTTTCTACTATCCCATGAGTAGGCAAGTATTATCCTTAAGATTATATATTTTGGTAAGTCGAAAGCGATATGTAATTCTCAGCTAAGACAATTATTTACTGAATTTCAGTTCGTCATCTTAACTTAATTTATGAAAAAGAAGGTACTCAACTCTTGACTTTGGAAGAAAATAACAGATGTTCTTGGTTGAAAAGGAAACTAAAGTAAATCAGCTAATAATGGTTAAACAACCACAACTTCTTCCACACAAGTGGATGTTGTTAACTAATTCTAAGCCGATTAGGAATCAATTAGAAGCATTGGACCTATTTAAATTTTTTATTTTATTATTAATGTTTTAGATTGAGAAGAAGTCAAGCTAGCTATTGCGATTGGATTTTTCCCCTAAGGGAAAACTCACTCGAGCTTTATCCCCCCAGTTTGGAGGTTAGCCATCGCTTCGATCCTGGCATCTATGTGTGGTGGGTGTGAATTGGAGGTGGATTGATTTAATAGGGCCAAATTCAGAGATTTTGAGGAGTCGTCACCTAACATTAAGTTCTGACGTGTTAGGTCACCAAAGATTGGGAAGAATTTGGATTGAATTTGAGGGCCCTGAATGACTCGCGGTCTGCTTCACCAAAGATGGGATTCGGGAGTTTCTTTACGCTTGGGGAAGGTGTTAGGCACCTCAAGACGCCCATACCAAGTACGGTTACCCATACTCTGTGCTAAATTACATTTACATTCATATGATTATTCGATGATCAATTATGAGGTACATGTAAGAATGTTTCAGTTATTTGTGGAAGGTGGTGATGAAAATGATATGTGGAGAGATGAAGATTGAATAATGGAGGATGGTCCCAGTAGATGAATGGTAACTGTGATGAGGGACATAACTGAGCTTGGGGAATGCCCCAAGCTACCTACGTATCTCAAGGTATGGGAATCAAGTCAAAACGTAGTTCAGGATTGGTGAAATAAGTCAAAATCGACTCCAAATGAGATTAAGGACCTTCGTCCACTCTGAGAATGAAGATAAACCTTATATGGTTCAGATGTGAGTTTTAGGGCCTCTACCCGCAAGGAATGATTTAAAGGGGAAGCAAGCATCGATGTGTTTACTTAGACGAGTATTGTAAGGGGTCCCCACCTGAAATGATTAACTGGGTGTCTTACAGAGGCCTCGGGGTTCCTCTGAATGGATGAGGAATAAAGGCATCAGAGTGCCTACTTGGATGAGTATTGTAAGGAGTCTATACCCGAAAGGATGTCGCATAGAGGACTCATGGTGCCTCTGAATCGATGGGGGAGAGCAAGCATTAGAGTGCCTACTTGGATGAGTATTGTAAAGGGTCCCACCCGAAAGGATGTTGTAATGATCCGGTCATTTTCCTTCCTTTCTTTTTTTGGTAATTTCTTTTTTCTTCCTTTTCCCTATTTTGTCTTTTTCCCGGTTATCGTTTTTCCTTGCATAACCTCACTTTCCATGCTCGGATTTGATTCCGGCTTTGCATGCATCCATGATATTTGATTTGCATGATATCTGTATTTTTACTTTCGTAGAAAAACATGCTAGTTGCTTACTTTTTTTCGCAAAGGACATGAATGCATACCTTCTTGGAAACATTCATGATTTTGGGGTTTTAGTGTAATTATGTAAAATAATTATTTAATTTGGAAGATATTTTGGAAAATGACCTTTTTGCAATTTTTGGTATGTATGACAAGTGTCACACTCTCATGGAGCTACTTGTTGGCATTGGGGTGGAGTCACTTGGAAGCATTATCTTGTGACATGTGGAGGGTAGAGATTCACCCACTTGTTGGCCTAGGATTGGTGCACTTGTTGGCTTGGATGGTTGACAAGTGTAGGCTTAGGATTAAGCCTAGGAAGAAGCCATGGATTGGTGACAAATGTAGGCACCAAATTGAGTCTTGCATTGTGTGTGTGAGAGAGGTAGTATAAGAACACCTAGTGAGTGGAGGAATACTAGATCCTCCACCCACCACTTTTCATTTGATCTCATCTACATTCCCTTTACTCTCATCCGAACCTAGCCTCCATTGAAGGAAAAGCTTAGCTTAGAGTTTTTGACTTCATTTTGCCTCCTTCCACTCACCTTAGATCTTTAAGCTTGTAATACTTTTGCTTCCTCTCATTATCCTCTACAAAACCCTAGTTTTGTTTTCCATTGTAAGCTTGGTTGTGCTTTGGATTAGAGAGATTCGATTCTCTATTGAGATAGGGGGTGTTCTAGTTTATTATCTAAGTGAATTAGTTATTTTTGTAGTGATGTATAAGTTGTATGCATGTCTTTTAATTAAATTGAGAAATTAATGATTAATGGTAGCTTGCATATAACTCACTTTAGACTTGGTATATGGCATGGCCATGACTTGATCTTTGTTGTATATTGATTTGGCATGATTTAAATGAGCTTTTAAATCTAGAGAATTAATAAATTCAATTTGGTTTAAATTCTACTTAATTGTACCTTACTTATATTCCATTTTAGACTTGATATATGGCATGGTCATGACTTAATCTTTATTATAGATTATTTTGGGATCATTTGAATAACTCTTGAAATATAGAGAAATTAATTAATTAGTTTAATTAATTTCTATCTTATTGTTCTAATGATTTAGTCATGTATTTGATGGAGCTTTTATGTTTTATCATATGTCATGACTTGTTGCTCAACTTGTTGATTTTGGAAACTTAGGATATCATCAAGCACTTGACTTGGCTAGGACTTAGTTCTAGTACGGGAGATAGAGAGTTCCCTACACTATAGCGCACTAGGAAAAGGTACCCATGGGTTAGTAGCCCTAAAGTGATCCCAAGAGTACGATTTTAATCCGGGCAATATCCAAGCATCCACTTTGGTTTGATTTCACACTTTAAATTCCAAATTGATAACTTTGTGAGTTTGCATCTTACTGTGTTGTGTTAGAAGTTCCAAAGTGGGTTAAACATTACGGATTGAATTACATTGAATTGTAAGTTCATATAAAGTTAGGCTTTTACATGCTCATTCCTTACAAGTAAACTTGTTTACTCACCCCAAAGTTATCGGGTTATTTTTCAGTAAAGAAGCATTATTGTGGGATACA